TCCACGGCCTTGGGGATTGCAGTGGGCTCAGCTGTGGGGCACGTTGTGGGTAGCGCCCTGACCGGAGCCTTCAGTGGGGGAGGAGCCTTCACTGGGGGAAGTTCGGAGCCCAGCCAGCCCGCCGCCCAGCAGGTGAGCCGCGGGGCCCTAGAGAAACTGAGGCAGGACGCCCCTGAGGCCACATAGCAGGGAGCGGCGGGAGTGCCCAGAACTGCCTCAGGCCTGGGACTTTGCCCACGGAGGATCCTAGTCCTCACTGTTGATCTCCCCATCAGGTTTACCGCCCCCCCCACCCCCAGTCCCTGAACTTCCAGGGCCAAACACTGGCCAACCCTAAAGATGGGGAAACTGAGGCCCAAGGGGTTGAAGACTGCCCAAGATCACCTTACCCGAGTAGAAGGGGAAGTATGTTGATGTCCTGAGCCTCTGCTCTCCCCACACCCAAGTCTGGTACTGCAGCCCCTTGGTTCAAGGGCAAAAGGCAGCCAATGACCTTGAGGCCTGTTCCCTGCTGACCTGTACCCTCCGGATGCCCCACCCCTACCCTCCTCAGAGACCTGAGCCAAATGCCACTTTAGCAGCTAAGTCTAGGGTTCTGGGGGTCATGAGGATCAGTGTGGCTGAACCAGGAAGGTGCTAGAACTTGTAGGGGTGGGGCTTACACCCTAAGAGTACAGCATAGCTCTGGGCCTTTTCAGAACCTTCTCTCCACTGCCCCTCCCTCTCACCTGCTCAACTTGCCGTTGGGGCACCCAGGCTGGGGGTATGGGGAGGGGCAGGTGGCCCTCAGCCTCAAGCTGAACCTGCCAGCTCCCCTGCCATCCCTAGTTCCCTGCCAGCGCTGCCCCACAGCCTCTGCAGCTGGGGCCATGCGCCTATGAGATCAGGCAGTTCCTGGACTGCGCGACCACTCAGAGTGACCTGTCTCTGTGTGAGGGCTTCAACGAGGCCATGAAGCAGTGCAAGTACAACCATGGTGAGCTACGGGACTGGCTAGGCGGGAAGGGCCCCCTCCTGCTCCGGCCAGCTGACCACACCTGTGCGGCCTCTTTCTCCCGAGGCCTGAGCTCCCTGCCCTGAAGAAACCACTGAGGACTCACAGCCCGACTGAAGCCCTGCACTCACCCACAGCTCACCAACAATGGACCACAATGCCAGATTGTATCTAAGTAGCTGGGAGGTGGAGTGAGGAAGGGGTTCTACCCCCACGGAAGACCTGAGACACAAATGTGCAATTAAAAGAGCTGATTTTAGACCACTGCTGGCTCCCGTGGACTGTCTGCCGGATGGATGTCTCTCCGTGGTGTGGGATGCCTCCCCTCAAGGGGGCATCCTGAGGGGGGGGTAAAGCCCCACTGTGGGCAGCAGAGGACAGAGTGCTGAGGGCAGTCCAGAGGACAGTAGGTCATTAGCAGGCAACTGCAAGGGTGTCTGTCTCTGGATCCCAGTAGGGCCTGTTGTCTCCCCCTCAGGAATGTCTGCCCCTCCCTCCCGTATGTCTCTGCCTCTGGGTCCCAGGTGGCCTCTTGCCCAGTGTCCCTGTGACCTTCCCCCTCTGCTCATGAACGTTTCAGTGATTCCAGGTTCTCCAAGAGGACTCCCACTGGCCGCTCTCTGTCTGGGCCTGAGCATACCAGCCTCCTGGCTCCGAGTCCAGCTCAACCACTTGGCCATGGGGTGCCAGGTCATGGGGACTGCAGAACAAGGGAGCAGACCTTCACGTTCAGTGCACTTGTGGCTGTGGACCAAGCAGCCCATGTGTTGTGCTGCTGCCTCGGTGGCATCCACTCCCTGCTCCTCACAGAGTAACTGCTGTGTACCAGGCCCTGCCCCGCATGCCCAGGTGTGGAAAGTACAGCAAGTGGACAGACAGACCACATTCCTGCCCTGATGGTAGGGTGCTGGGGACTTATCTCCAGGCACAAGGTGTGTGTGTGGTGGGGGGGTGGGATAGGCATTGGGGGTCTGCCTGTCAGCACATGTGTGTCCATCCCCCAGAAGGGGTCCCACTACTGGGTGTGAATGTACCCCCTAGTGTCAAGGTCTCCTCTGTACCAGGCTCCTGGCCCACTTTGGCAGCTCTGGGGCCTGGAAGGGGGGCCTCTTTCCCGGTGGCTGTGCCAAGTGCCCCTTCTCCTTTTCTGGCTGTTGTCCGTAGGCGGAAGGCCTGACAGCCAGTGCAGCTCCTCTGCAAGGCTCAGGAAGCCCTGCCTGTAGGGGCTGGGGACAGGGTGCTCCCCCCTACCCCCCACCCTTGTGGGCTCTACCCCGACACTCACCTGCCAGCTCTGAACACACGTTGTCCAGGTTCTCCAGTAGGAACGTACATCGGGTAGGGGCCCCACCCTCCCTCCTGTGGAGGGAGGACTACCCTTGGCCTGATGCCCCCCTTCTGTCCCACCCTGTCCCTCACTCTGGGGTCCAGGCTAGGGTCCTGACTGAGGGTGGCCCCAGACACCCAGAGTCTTGGTGTACTCTCCTCTTATAGTCGGGATCTTAGGACCCCACTTACTGAGAATCCTAATGAGGATGTAGGTTTCACGCTCCTGGAGCAGGGAGCTGCCCATGGTGGGGGCTGGGGTAGCCCCCTCCTCCAGGCCCTGACCTAGGCTCACCAGGTGCCTGTCCTCAGCCAAGAGGGCAAGTGTCACTGCGAGGCAAGGAGGGAGGCAGGCAGGGCTGCCTCCCCTGCCTGGGGCCCTCAGCCCCTCCTACCAGTGCCCCTCCTGTTCCCTCACCATCCTGGGGGACACCACTCCTCTCCCTCAGGTGGGTGGTAAGGGTCACCAGGCTGCACCAGGGGTTCACCAGCTCCCAGCAGCCAGCTATGGGGGCAGGGGAGGTTCACTGGATGGGGTCCCCTCCCATCCATCTGGGACCCTCTGCTCCCATCTCCCCCCAGAGCTGGGACTTGGGCTACAGGATTGGGACTGCGTCCCAGCCAAATGTTGCTGAAACTGCCATCTCCCAAGATGTCCCCGCCTACCCCACCAGCCTCCTGCCTGAGGGGCTGGAATCTGCACCTGTGACAAGACCTTCCGATGAGATGTTGTGCAGTTTAGCCTTGCTCACGGCAGGTTGGGGCAGGGGCCCTTTGTGAATTTCCCAGGACCCAGCCAGCAGGGCCATTTCCCCAACTCCCTCACCCCTTTCCCCATTTGCACCCCCTTCCCACCACTGCCTCTCACCCTCCCCTAAGGGCAGAGGGAGAGGAGGCCCCACTTACCTCCAAACATCACAGTGATAAACACGGCTGCAGGGGATGGAGACAGATGTGGGACCTCTGATCTCCCAATCCCAGACACCCCACTAAAGAAGGGTCCGATGGGTGGGTGGGCCCAGTCCAGGCCCCTGCTCAGCCCCTTCTGGGGCTCGGCTGCCCCTGCCTAGAGGGGTCTTTGCAGCTAGGCCCCAACCTGGCCCCTTCTTGCGCAGCCTCCTCTTCCTCCCTCTGGGAGACTCAGCACCCACCCACTGTCCCCACGCTGGTCTCCATGGCAGTAGGAGCCTCCAAGACATCCAGGGAGGATGCATCCTGGTAACAGTCCTGGTGCTGATGGGACAGTTCCTGAGGCAGGGCTCTGGTCAAGCTGTAGTGGGGCCAGGGATGCCCTGATGAACACCCTCGACCACATCCTTCCGCCAGTGAGAGCTGGAGGGTGTTTTCCTGGGGTGAGCTTAGCCTCAGACAGCCTGACCCAAGACCTGGACTGGTTGCAGGGTCATGGGGGCATAGACCCTGGGAGAGCCCAGACTAAGGAAGGATTCTTCCCTAGAGCCTTCAAAAAGAGTGTGGTCCTGCTGACACCTTGATTTCGGACCTCTGACCTCTAGACTGGAAACCCTGGTGGCGAAGTAGTTAAGAGCTATGGCTGCTAACCAAAAGGTCGGCGATTTGAATCCACTAGGTGCTCCTTGGAAACCCTATGGGGCAGTTTTACTCTGTGCTGTAGGGTCGCTGTGAGTTGAAATTGACTCTATGGCAATGGGTTTGTTTTTTTTTTCTTTTTTTTGGTTTAGCCTCCAGACTTAGTTGGTAGCAGGCTATGCCAGGCCATGATCGTAGCATGGGGTCCTCTCCAGCCTCAGTGCCTCTACCAGCACAGCCTCTCCTGGGCTCACTTTGTGTCCCCTCCCTCTCTGCCTTCCTCACTCCCAGTCCCCTCACCTCCTTTTCTTCTCTCTTTTTTTCTTTTAGTTAAGTTTGTTGTTAGCTGCTGTTGAGTCTCCTGACTCATGATGACCGCGTGCACAACGGGATTGGACTTCTATGATCCATGGGATTTTTTTTTTAAATAGTATTTTATTGTGTTTTTGGCGAAAGTTTACACAGCAAATTAGGTTTCCAATCCATAGGGTTTTTATTCAAGTTTGTTGTTGTTAGTTGCTGTTGAGTTGATTCCTACTCATAGCGACCCTATAGGACAGAGTAGAACTGCCTCATAGGGTTTCCAAGGCTGTAAATCTCTCTCCTGCAGAGCAGCTGGTGGGTTCGAACCACCGATCTTTCGGTTAGCAGCTGAGCACTTAACCACTGTGCCACCAGGGCTTCTCCACCAAGGCTACTGAGGTATAATTTACATACAGTAAAAGTCACCCTTTTTAGTGTATGGTTGTATGAGTTTTGACAATCTCATGTAACCACCACCACAGTCAGGATACAGAACATTTCCATCACTCCAAAGTTCCCTGTGCCCCTTTGTAGTCATCCACTGCCGTGCAACCAGCCCTTAGCAAATGCTGCTATTTCCTGCTCCTGCCTTTGCCAGAACATCATATAAATGGGATCATAATGTAGATAGGCTTCTTCCACACAGCACAACGCCTCTGAGATTCATCCGTGTGTATATCAATAGTTGGCTCCTTTTTATTGCTGAGGGGAACTCCACTGTCTGGATGTACCACAGCGTGTTTCTCCATTCACCAGTTGAGGGACATTTGGGTTGTTTCCAGCTTTTGGTAATTATGGATAAAGCCAGTACAGACATTTACCTACAGGTTTTCATGTGAACATAAGTTTTAATCTCTCTGGGTAAGTACCCACAGGTCAGATTGCTGGGTTGTATAGTAAATGTTATGGAGTCTCTGGGTGGTACAAACAGTTAAGTGCTGGGCTACTAACCAAAAGGTTGGCAGTTCAAACCCACCCAGAGGCATCTTGGAAGAAAGGCCTGGTGATCTACTTCCAAAAGGTCACAGCCTGAAAACTCTATGGAGCAGTTCTACTTCTACTCTGTAGATTGAGAATCCCCATGAATTGGAATTAACTTGACGGCAACGAGTTTGGTTTTTTTATCATAGTGATATGGGTTGAATTGTGTCCCCAAAAATATATTGAAGTCCTAACTCCTGGTACCTGTGAATGTCTGTGGTGAAATGAGTTCCTTTATGTGGGCTTTTGCCTTGGTTCTTTGAAAAAACAGCTTGAGAGATGTCCTCCTAAGCCCTGAAGAGTTACCTTTGCCCTAATTTTCTACCTCAGAGGGTTTGTTGCCTTTGTCCAGGTTGATTGACATTTCCTGGGTAAGCTGGTTTGATACTTTTTGTCTGGCCCTGGGCTGCAGCTTGCCCTGTGATTGGTCAATATACTGTGCAAATGAAGTGACTATAGACTATGCAAAGGAAATGTCTTGTAGCCCACTATGTAAATACAATGTCTGTGGCCTAATGAGAGGGGATTGGTCAGTTCGTGGCCTCGGTGGGAGGCCATGCCTTGAAATTGACAAGGAAGTTTGCTAATATATTCAGCCAGCCCCCCAGAGATTGGCAGACAGAGAAGGAAGAAGGAAGCAGAAAGGAGAAAAGGCAAGAGAAGCAAAAAGAGAGAAGAAGCAGAGAGAGAGGAGGCAAGGAACACCCTAAAAGAGTTGTAATAATGGTCAAGGGCTGTAACACTGAAGACAGCAAGAGGGCCTGGAAGCGGCCCAACAGCAAAGCTGGTGGCAACAGGCCCAGAACGGGCCCTATGGTACAGTGGTGATAGTAGAAACCTGTTGCTAGGAATGCAGCTAAGAGGCCTGAACAAAACTACTGCACTGGCCGTGAGCTGGGTCAGTTAGCAGTGGAGAGGCTAAAGGCAGAGAGGCTAAAGGCAGAGAGGCCAAAGGTAGAGAGGCCTGTCCTGAGGCGCCCGAGAGGAGCCTACACCACTGAGAGGGGGGTGTGCAAGTCAGAGAGAAGGGCCTGCTTTCTTGTACAGCCTAGAGGAGCTGAGAGAGCTGTCCAGCACTGAAGAAGGGAGGGATGTACTCTCCTCTTCGAGGGAGCCTTCCAGACTTTGCTTGCATGCTTCCTGAACCTGATTCCAAGCTGTTCCCTGTTCCCTTCTTAATAAACCACTTAACTGTAAGTATGGTCTGTGAGTTTTGTGTGACCATTGCAACAGATTATTGAACCCAGCAGAGAAGTAGAGAGTGCCGTGGTGAGGACAACCAGTGTCAGAATTGTTAAAAAGGTTGGAGAGTGGAGGTATGTCTGACCTCCACCTCATAGGGATCAGCTTTGGGCTGATCCTGGTCATTATCCTCCTTGAAGTTAGACATATTCTGATGTTACTGCCACCATTTTTCAATGCCTTATTTGGAAGTAGGGTCTTTGCAGCTGTAACTAGTTAACATGAGGTCATACTAGAGTAGATTGGGGTCAGTTAGCAGTGGTAAGGAAGGATTCTTCCCTAGAGCCTTCAGAGAGAGCATTGGCCCTGTTGACACCTTGTTTTCAGACTTCTAGCCTCCAGAACTGTGAGAGAATAAATTTCTGTTGTTTTAAGCGACCCAGTCTATGGTACTTTGTTACGGCAGCCACAGGACACTCATACAGTAAGTATATGTTTAAGGATATTGGTGGTTTGTGATAGAATTCTCATCTTCCATGCAGGAGACCCATGTTCAGTTCCCAGCCAATGTACCACATGGGAAGCAACCACCCGTCTGTCAATGTGTATTGCTATGATGAACAGGTTTTAGCAGAACTTCCAGACTAAGATGGACTTGGAAGAAAGCCCTGCCAATCTATTTCCTAAAATCAGCCAGTGATAATCCTGTGGATCACAACGGTCTGAGCTGCAACTGATCACAGGGATGGTGCAGAACCAGGCAGCATTTTGTTCTGTTGTGCATGGGGTCACCATGACTTGGGGACTGACTCGCTGGCAGCTAACAATAAGTGTATATTTAACTTTACAACAAGAAACTACCAACCTGTTTTCCATTGTGCCTGCCCCCTTTTGCATTGTCCTCCTTTCTGCCTCTCTTTGTCGCTGGCCCCCCCGGCTCATGGCAGGTCATCAGTAACTCCTTGTTAGTCGTTTCTGTCACTGACTTTCCCTCCCTCTCACATTCTTGCCCTGTCTCTCGCCTTTTTTCCCTGTCTCTCATACTTGTCTGTCTCTTCCTCTCCCTTCATCTGCCTTGCCCTTGTTCTCTTTGTCTCTTTATGTTCTCCCGGTGTTCACCATTTCTTTGACTTTTTTCTCTCCCTCTCCCTATCTCATACCTCTTTCCTTCCCACCTATCACCTCCCTCTATCTCTGGCTCTCTGTCTCCCTCTCCCTCCCCTTGGCCCCCAGAAGGCCCCTCCAGCCAAGCCCCTGCATCCAGCAGTTGGGGTGTTTGGAATTCATCTCTGGCGCCCAGTGCCCCAGGGCTCTCCACCAGGCTGGGGGCCAGCAGGGCCCAGAACAGGATTCCCTCATCCTTTTGCTCAGCTCCCAGGTTTTAGAAATTGCCTCCTGCACCCCCCTGCCCCCGCCCCATCAGGCGTGGCTGTCTGTCCTGCCCTCCACAGGCAGTGCTCTGGACCTGGAGGCAGAGGACTGGGGCCTTCAGGCAGTTCCACCAGTGTCACGTTCCGTCCCCCGGACAAGCATTTTCCTTTGGAAGGCCTCGGTGTTTCCACCTGTAAAATGGGGTGAGAATCATTACTCAGCAGGGTTGCTTTAAAGTGCATGTATTAAAGTGCCATCTTGGTGCTCAGCGTGTAGTAAGTGTTCAGACTCAACAGCTCATTGCATCAGTACTGGTGGAAACAGACAGCATCTCCCAAACTTATTTAAACTTAGACCACTTTCTTCCTGGGACATCACTGTATCTGGCAACCTGTGCTCTGCATAACACAGCTTGGAGACTCTGAGCTGGAAGGACTGTAGCCACCTGGCCAGACTCTGGGAGGAATGGCCACTCTGGGCACTGAGCTTCGGCTCTGACAGCCATCACTCTCCTGCCCAGTGGCTCATATTCAGCACCACTCCTAGGGCTGGTCTTTTATCTTCCAAGCCGCTCTGAATACTGGCATTTTATTTTGAGTGTCAAGGGATGCCCTAAGGAGCTGTGAGGAGTAGAGTGGGACTTGTGTGGAGGGCTTCTTCACCTCTTTCTGAAGGAGGGACCTCTTGAGGCTGTGTGTTCATGACTGCGCACTGTGCTCAGTTCTGAGCAAATAGGTCTTTCCTTGTTGTTAGCTGCTGTCAAAAGTTCCATAGGATTTTCATGGCGAATTTTCAGAAGTAGATTGCAAGGCCTTTCTTCCTAGTACATCTTAAGCTCTGCTGAAACCTGCTCAACATCACAGCAATATGCAAGCCTCCACTGACAGATAGATAGTGGCTGTGCGTGAGGTGCATTGTCTAGGAGTTGAACCCTGGTCTCCTGCATGGGAGGCAAGAATTCTACCACTGGACCACAACTGTCCTCTTGAGCAAATAGATTTTCTGTTTGCATCTTGACAACAACCCTCGAGTTGGCACTCTGCTTGTCTTCATTTTCCAGGTGAGGAAACCAAGGCACAGAGAGGGGGAGTAACTTAGCTAAAATCATGCAGTCAGGAAGAGGAGGAGCTGGGATTCAAGCCCAAATTGAAAACCACTGTGGCTCACCTATTACTGTCAGATAGTATCAAGTCCTGGCCCTCGTACTCTGGACTTCTCTCACACTGCTGGAGCCCCTGGATCTTTCTCACATTGCTGGGGGGAGCACAGATGGCAGTCTCTACTGAAGCTAAGTACGCACATTCCCCACGACCCAGCAATTCGCCTCCTGGGTGTCTGTCTTAGTCTCCTAGTGCTGCTGTGACAAATACCATATGTGAGTGGCTTCAAAGAACACGAATTTATTTTCTCACAGTTTAGGAGGCTAGAAGTCCAAATTCAGAATGTGTGGCTCTAGGGGAAGTCCTTCTTTGTTTATTTCAGCTTCTATTAGTCGACAGTCCTTGGTTCCTTGCCAATCTTCATGTGGCATCTGTTTTCTTCTGATCGTGCTTTCTAATGTCTAATCTGCTCTTTTTATGACTCACAAAATGATGACTCTACACTGATATGGCCTCATTAACAAAGAAAACCCTATTCCTAAATGGGATCACATCCACAGGAACAGGGGTTAGGATTCCAACACATATTTCGGGGGACACAGTTCAATCCATAAAAATGTCTATCCAGTAGAAATGAGAACACAGACACACCAAAAGACATTGGCAGGAAAGTTCACAGCAGCTTTATTTGTAACTACCCAAAACTGGGAAGAACACACATTGTCTAACAACAGGAGAACAAATAGATAAACTGAGGTACATTCACACGATGGGCAACACCCAGCAATGAGAATAAATTAAACATTGCTGCACACATGAGTGCTGCTCATAATGATGGACAAAAAGCAGACACAAAAGAGGGCACACCATATTGTTCCACTTTATTTGAAGTTCTCTTAGATCAGGCAAAATGAATGTGTGCTGGTAAAAGTCAGAAAGATAGTTGCCCTTGCAGGTGTAGGCCGTTACTGGCTGGGAAGGTGCAAGAGGGAAGCTTCTAGAAGATGGAAATGTTCTCAGTCTTGATTCGGTGGGCATTGCTGTACATTTAAAATTAGTGTACTCTCCTGTATGCAACCACTACCTGTCTGTCCATTTGTTGTACTGTGGTGGCTTGTGTATTGTTGTGATACTAGAATCTATGCCACTGGTATTTCAAATACCAGCAGGGTTCACCCATGATGGACAGGTTTCAGTAGAGCTTCCAGACTACGAGTAGGAAGAAAGGCCTGAAGATCTATTTCCGAAAATCAGCCTATGAAAACCCTATGGATCACAACAGGACATTGTTTGACTCACTTGCTTTGGACATACTATCAGAAGGAATCAACTGCTCGAGGAGGACATCATGTTTGGTGAAGTAGAAGGCCAGCGAGGGTGAAGAAAACCCTTCGTGAGATGGATTGGCAAAGTAGCCCCGACAGTGAACTTGAACATGCTGGTGATTGTGAGGATGACACAGGACCAGGCAACCAGGTTGCCATGAGGTGGGGTTGTCCTGATGGCAGCTATCTATTAATCTATGTATGTATCTATCCATCCATCCACCCACCCATCCACCCATCCATCCATCTCCACTGTATACCTCAACAAAAAGACAATTCCTAGCCCCTGCTATAACTGCTCACGTAGACTTCTAGCTCTTGTTCTCAGAAGGCCTTTTGAGGCAAGGATCCTGACATTTGGGAAGGCTGGCCCCGCCCCTGACCAATGGGCTGATTTGCATGCCTTGTTGTGGTCCATTGGCCTCCCAGCAGTGCCCTGTAGCACCTGGAGCAGGGCCCAGCAGAAGGAAGCCCGCCTGCCCCCTGCCTCTGCCCATGGCCACCTGGTGCCTGGTCCTCCTCACTGGGGTCCTCCTGGCAGGTGAGCACTCAGGAGCCTGGCTCACCTGGGAGTGGGGTGGGAGACAGCAGTGTCTTCAGAAAAATCCTGCAAGGAAGCAAATGGATTAGGGTAGTGTGGATAGTCCTGGGAGAGGCATCGAGGTGGAGGGGAGACCTGGCTCCCGGAGGGTATGCCCTGAGCTGGGGCAAGACAGGGCCTCAGTTTCCCCACTTGTGAATGACCAGATCACTAGACTCCCTTCAGGCTTTGACCCTTGGGAGTCTCAGTTCTTTATAGGGAAGCTGGTCCCTACCCCATAGGACCTCAGAGGCAACCAAACTCTGAGAAGGTTTCCAGTGGCCAGTTGCCTGAGGCTCACCTGAGGGGTGGTGCAGCCCAGGAGGCTTCCTGGGGTAGTTAGTTTGTAGTCAGGGTTTGAAAGAGCGAATGTGACTGAGGGGGCGGGGGTCTGCAGGGCAAGGTGGGTGGACAGCAGGAGAACCCGGGGTCCCCAGTCCTACCCACCAAGTTCTAGGCCCTCAGCCAAACATGGATCCTTGGGACGTAGCACTAATGGGGACTTGGAGGTTGCCGACTCTAAACCCTTTACCCCCAGAGTGGAACTGAGGTCCAGAGAGGATGTGCTAGGTCACACAGAACTGGGCTTCCTGTGCCTTGTCCAGTGCCCATCCCACGGCACTGGGCTATGAAACTTCTGTGAGCAGGACATTCGGGAAGCAGAAGGGGCTTGGGCTGGGCCTGAGCCAGTCTGTCTCTGTCAGCCTCCCAGCCAACCCTAGCCCAGCCAGATGCACTGCTGGTCTTCCCAGGCCAGATGGCCCAGCTCTCCTGCACACTCAGCCCCCACCACGCTGCCATCAGGGATTACGGTGTGTCCTGGTACCAGCAGCGGGCAGGTAGTGCCCCCCGATACCTCCTTTACTACCGCTCAGAGGATGACCAGCACCGGCCTGCTGACCTCCCTGCCCGCTTCTCGGCAGCCAGGGACATGGCCCGCGATGCCTGCATCCTGACCATCAGCCCTGTGCAGCCTGAGGATGACGCAGATTACTACTGCTCTGTGGGCTACGGCTCCAGCCCCTAGGGATGGAGTGTGGAGGAATGCCCTTGTCTACCTCCCACTTTGCCCAGACTTTGAGCCCGTCTCTTTCTCTGAGCCTTGCTTTCCCTCCTCTGTAAAATAGATTAATAAAATTCAACATGTCAACCACAGCTATGGTGAAGAGCAAGAAGTCCTATGTGAGAAAGTGACTGTGGTCAGTCCGGAATCGCGCGCGCGTGCGTGCGTGCATGCGTGTGTGTGTGTGTGTGTGTGTGGTGGGGGGCAGGGTTGTGGGGATTGTTGCAGAAGAGGAAGCACCTGAGACCCTTGGGGTGGGGCCCAGCCTCCCCCTGGCTCCCAGGGGACTCAGAGTGGTGGCCTGGCCTTCCTGCGACCGGAGGAGTTGGAGGGGGAGAAAGAGGAACCAGCCCTTGCCACTCCCAGCTCTGCATGGCTGGCTGTGGTCCATCGTTCACCAGTGGGGGTGGCTGGGATGGGTCTCCAGGCTGACTTGGAGAGGAGCAGCCCTGCCTACTCCTTGGGGTCTCTAAGTTCAAGTCAGGCTCAGCCTTGAGGGGACACGGAAGCAGGTGTGAGTGGGCACGGGGGCTAGAGGCCTGAGGGCCAGGGCTGGGGGCTGGAAGAAGGTAGGAGGGCCTTGTTTCTGTGGAGGGCCCCCTAACGTCAGGCCAGAAGACACTGTCTCAGTGGGCCAAGTCTTGCAATCAGAAGCAGGGTGGGTAGAGCCTCTGGGAGTGGGGTGAGGGTGGGGTTCAAGAACACACCTCTCTTCCTTCCCTCTTCCCTTGGAAACAAACAAAAACCAAACCCATTGCCGCTGAGTCAATTCCAACTTACAGTGACCCTACAGGAGAGAGTAGAACTATCCTATAGGTTTCCAAGGGGTACCTGGTGGATTTGAACTGACAACCTTTTGGTTAGCAACCATACTCCTAACCACTATGCTACCAGGGTTTCCCTTCTGCTGAGAGGCACCTCATGCCTGGACCTCAGCTCTCAGTTGCACAGTCTTCGGGGTGTCCAGGGTCTTGGGAGGGTCCCGCCTACTTTCTCAACCACCTCCTGGCCCCACCCTCCCAGGCCTGTTATCTTTGGGGTGGGGCAGGCAGGAACAGGGCTGCCTTTGAAGGGGGCTGGGTCTTCACAGGGCCCTGGGCCTATGCAGGGTGACAGATTTGACAGCTCTGCTCCCCCTTCTCCTTTCTCCTGAAGATCTCAGACTCCCCGTGGTCTCTGGCGGCTCTGGGCCGGCCGGCCCCTCCAGCCTCAGTTTTCTCCTACTGCATTTTGAGGGCAGCCTGGACCGCCATCAGCACAGACCTCCTGAGCCACGTCCCGGCTCCGCAGCCTGCCTGCTGCTCGCCGATGCCGGCGGGCGGGACCACCGAGATGGGGCCTCCGCGCTGCCTAGCGCGGTCCCGGAAGTGCCTGCGGCGGGCGGGGCCGGGCACTCGGCCGCGGGGCGCATCACACCGGCGCTGGCGCCGGTCGTCGGTCGTGGGTGGGAACTGCTGAGGTGCGGCCCGCCCCGCAAGGTGAGCGGCCCGCTCCGCAAGGTGAGCGGCCCGCCCCGCAAGGTGAGCGGCCCGCCCCGCAAGGTGAGCGGCCCGCCCCGCCTAGGTGAGCGGCCCTGTGTCCACTGTGTGACCCGAACGCCGGGACCTCTGGGTCGCGTGACCACCCGTCCCCGGTGGTCCCGTGCAAGCGTAGCAGGCGGTGAACGCTTGCAGAGGCGCTGGCGTCGCCGCCCGGCGGGCGCGTGCGGGTCTGCAGACCTCCGCGGAGGGTCGGCCGGTGCGCGGGCCTGGGGCTCCCATGGGACGGGGTGACGATGCGGAAGGAGCCAGAGGAGGCCTGGGAGGGGTGGGAAGCATGAGTTTAAGGCCTCTGGGATTTCAGGCCCAAACGTTTAAAAAAATCGTTGGGGACAGATTAAAGATTGCAAATTTTTAATCCAGCGTGTAGGTGGTCCATGAGGGGAATGTAAAACTTCTCTGGGAGGAACCTTGGAAATAGGTGGGTGGAGGCAGAGTTGCATTTCACAGGTACCCTTAGGAGGGATCACAGGGCATGAAAATCGGGGAATACTTTCAGAATCTGAGGCATCAAGCGGGGAGGGTGGGGAGCAGGCTTAAAGCTTTCAGGAGCCCTGGCAGGCAAGATGGGTTAGTGAAGGGGGCATCCGGCTCCCCCCCGCCTCATTGTTGTTGGATGGGCCCATGTTGTCACATCTTCCTGTTTCGAAGAAAAAGCCAGAAACCTACTGATTTTTAAATATTGGCAACAAAGTAAAACAACAGGCTCAACTGTTTGAGAGTCAAACAAAACGTGTTGGTGGCCAGATTTCCCCAGGCTGCCAGTTTGCAATCTCTAAAATGAAGGATTTTGAGAAGGAGGTGATGGTGAGCAGTGCCAGATAGGTTGAGAAGAGAGACCCGGGTTTGGCAATTAGGAGGTCATTGGATGCCGAAGCCAAGTGCTGAGGTCTTAGCTAAAATTGGAGACTGGAAATTTGTGGTGGTGCCTGACCTAGTCACGATTTTCCTTGACAACATCTACCATTTTAGGCGGAGTTGACAAGGTTGGGAGCTAGCGGCTGGTTGCAGCAGGGCAAGGAGGTAAGGAATGTGATGCTGGTCAGAGAGTTAGTTGAAGTGATGCCTATAGTTGGTCCCTCTGTAGATAGGGTCTAATCTCACACATTTAGTAAGTACCTACTATTTCTGTCATGGAGCCCTGGTGGCGCAGTGCAGTTCTACCCTGTCCTATAGGGTCACTATGAATTGGAATTGACTTGACGGCAACTCAAGCGCAGCCACTACCAGTCTGTCATTGGAGGCTTGCGTGCTGCTATGATGCTGAACAGGTTTCACCAGAGCTTTCAGACTAAGGTGGACTAGAAGAAAGGCCTGACAAGCTACTTCCAAAAATTAGCCCATGAAACCCTGTGGATCGCAATAGTCCTATCCACAACTGATTGTGAACATGGCACAGGACCAAACAGTACTTTGTTCCGTTGTGCATGGGGTTGCCATAAGTCAGGGGTTGACTCAAAGGCAGCTAATGACAACAAGCTAGGCAGGGAAGGGGGGGAACCTGAGTGAAAATGGAGGGTTGTTGGACTTGATTGAAAGGTGTTGAGAGAGCTGGAAGGATTGAAGTTTATGGGTTACTGTAGAAATGGGGAAGGTAGGAGGAGTTGAGGTGGTCAAAGAATTTTGAGAATAGTTCTATGCTTTTTTCACACCTGACCTTTCTGCTGGCTGCAAAATTATTTTAAAAATAATTTCTAATAGGAATGAGTTTCGTTGTGACTGTTATGATTAATTTAGTACGTTTACTCCCTAAGCTTTGGTGCGAGGATTGTAGTACTTCTGTATCGGGTTGTGAGGATTAAACGAGATATGTTTGTGAAAGTTCTAGTAGTGTCTGTATATGAGTTGGATGGCAACGGGTTATCACACAGTAGGTGCTCCATAAATACGAGCTATTTTCATCATCATGTCACCTGAGGAGTTTCCCTTTTTCTAGCACATGTGTTTCCAAATGAAGTCCTAAGGGGCTCCCTGGGCCACCACAGCAGGTAGGGGCTGAGTGGTGGCCATCTGCTTCCATAAAACATCTGCTTTGCCTGGACTGGCTCTGCTTCCATCTATTTTATTTACTTATAGATAATTTATTTCACTAAAAGATTCTTTGCGAAATCTCCCAGAATTTGAATAAAGGGTTTTGGGGAGGAAGAAAAAAGTTTGATAGTTCTAGCACAAAACCAAGTGGCTTTTTCTCCATTTGAGCAATTATTTTTTTCAGCAGAGGTGTGTGTAAGGGTAGTGCTATTGTGCTGGATGCTGAGGGTTCCAAGATGAAGGAGCACAATGGTGAGAAGGGTCATGTAGACCGATGTTTGCCATCCAGGGTGAGTACTATCATGGGTATGTGCCGAGTGTTGTGGGCCACTGAGGAGGCACAGTGAGCCCTGCCTGTGATCCCCAGAATCAGGGTTCAGGGAAGAGGGACATTTGATCCGAGTCTCTGAGGAGGAGCAAGGGGCAGTCTGAGAGCAGGAACCCTGCAATCTTCTGTTAGGCACAGAGACTGGAAACAGCAGCCAGAGGAGTGGTTGAGCTGGAAGGCTAGAGGCGTGAGGGACAGAGGTAGGAGAGGGACCGGGAGGGCCATCATAAAGGCCTTGTAAAGGAGTGGGGCTCTGTTTTGTAGGCATCAAGAAACTTGCAAGATCCTAAGATGGGAAACCACATGATCAGATTTGTGTTTTGGGTCCTGAGTGGCACAAGCAGTTTGCTATTGGCTGCTAACCTAAAGGTTGATGGTTCAGACCCACCCAGTGGCACCACAGAAGAAAGTCCTGGTGATCTGTTTCCGTGAAGATGACAGCTAAGAAAATTCTATGGAACAGTTCTACCCTGTAACACGTGGGGTTGCCATGAGTTGGAACCGACTCGACATGATGGGCTTGGGGTTTTTTCTTGGTCAATAGAGAGAATGGACTGGGGGAGGGAGGAAAAGCTAGAGTTACCAGCTGCCATGGGATCGACTCCAACTCATGGCAACTCCGTGTGTGTCAGAGTAGACCTTTGCTCCACAGGGTCTTCAGTTACTGATTTTTTGGAAGTACATTGCCAGGCCTTTCTCTGAGGTGCCTCTGGGTGTACTTGAACCATCAACCTTTCAGTTAGCAGCCAACTGTGTTCATCGTTTGCACCACCCAGGGACTCCGGAAGCTGGAGGTAGGTGGCTGTTAGGAGGTGACATTGAAATAATCCTGGGGAGTAGCAATAAGGCCTGAGCCACAGAGTGGCAGTGAGCACAGGGGGGCTGAGACCCCATCAGTGAAGCCTCAGGAAATGGACAGGATGGAGTGTGGGAGTGAGAAAGTCTAGTCTGACTCCCAGGATCCTGGCTTGGTCACTGGCTGGATAGGGTACAGTTAACCTAGTGTACCCACCCATTTACCCATTGCCGTCGAGTTGATTCTGGTTTATAGTGACTCGATAGGGCAGAGTAAAACTACTCCATAGGGTTTCCAAGGCTATAATCTTTAAGGAAGCAGACTGCCACATGTTTCTGCAGCAGAGAGGCTGGTGGGTTTGAACCACCTACCATTTGGTTAGCAGCTGAGTGCTTAACCACTGTGTCACCAGGGTTCCTTAACCTAGTGTAGGAAGGAAGTATTCTTTCTTTCTCAGCAATCCCCACCCCCTAAATCCTCCAGTAAGCTGAAGTCTTGCCTCTTGGCCACTTGCTATTTTAGCTTACCTTAGGGCTTTACTTTCTAAGCACCCTCAGCTTGTATAGTCTGGATACCACAGTGTAGCACTTGATTGTGTCAGTCTGGAGACTCTGGGTGGTGTAAGTGTGCTCAGCTGCTAACCGAAAGGTTGGCAGTTCAAACCCACCCAGAGGCACCTCGGAAGAAAGGCCTGGCGATCTACTTCCAAAAAAATCAGCCACTGAAAGCCCTGTGGCACACAAGTCTACTCTGGCATGTGGGGTTGCCATGAGTCAGGGTCGACTTGACTGCAGCTGGTATAGTGGTCTGTCTTGTAATTGCTTCTGGTACATCAGCCTTGTCTCTGATTTGGTTGGGATCATCTCAAAGACAAGCTGTGTCATATACTTATTTTGCTGTTACCACTATAGATTCTAGCCCAGAGAGGAGGCACACAATAAGCAGTTTACTCTCTGACGTGACAGTGTCCTTTATTTTCGTTTCAGATGTGAGAACAGTAATGGTGTTGCAGAGAAGAACATTTTTGAAGAACCATGGTAATTCGGGAGATCCTCAGTTCACAATGGAAGTCCCCCTAGGAACCAAGTTTGCTGAGACCTTTGCTTTGAGGACAGCTTAGAGATGCAGCAAGAACTTTTCCCAGGGGAGGACCTGGGGAATCCTTTTCTTCAGGACAAAGGTTTGGAGCACATGGCTGTCATCTACAAGGAGATCCCTCTTGGAGAGCAGGGCGATGAGTGTGATGATTATGGGGGAAATTTCAGTCTGTGCTGTAGCCCTATTCAGCGTCAGAATGTGCGCCCAACCACCAGACCCCAGGATGATGAGCTGTTTGGCCAAACCTTCCTCCAGAAGCCAGACCTCAGTGTGTGCCAGATAGTCCATGGTGGAGAAGACTCTGGCAAGCATGATGGCAAGACGGTAGACTGGGAGAGTGTGGTGCTTAACTACTCTCACAGAATGGCACAGCCAGCCAAGCCCTATGCATGCCGGGAGTGTGGGAAGGCCTTCAGCCAGAGCTCACATCTGCTGAGACACCTGGTGATCCACACAGGGGAGAAGCCCTATGAGTGCTGTGAGTGTGGGAAGGCCTTCAGCCAGAACTCGCATCTGCTGAGACACCAGGTCATCCACACCGGGGAAAAGCCCTACGAGTGCCAGGAGTGTGGCAAGGCCTTCCGCCAGAGCTCCGCTCTCATGCAGCATCAGAAGACCCACACTGGCAAGAGGCCCTACGAGTGCAGGGCGTGCGGGAAGGATTTCAGCAGGAGTGCAAGTCTCCGGAAGCATGAGCGAATTCATACCGGAGAGAAGCCATACCAGTGCAAGGAGTGCAGGAAGGCTTTCAGCCAGAGTTCAGGCCTGAGCCAGCATCGGAAAATTCACACCTTGAAGAAGCCCCATGAGTGTGAACTTTGTGGGAAAGCCTTCTGTCACAGGTCTCACCTCATCCGGCACCAGAGGATCCACTCTGGGAAGAAACCCTACAAGTGTGAGGAGTGTGAGAAAGCCTTCAGTCAGAGCTCCAACCTTATTGAGCACCGCAAGACCCACACAGGTGAGAAGCCCTACAGATGTCACAAGTGTGGGAAAGCCTTTAGCCAGAGCTCCTCGCTAATCGAGCACCAGCGGATCCACACGGGGGAGAAGCCTTACGAATGTGGCGAGTGTGGCAAGGCCTTCTGCCACAGCTCGGCCCTCATCCAGCACCAGAGGATCCACACTGGGAAGAAGCCGTATGCCTGTAATGAGTGTGGGAAAGCTTTCCGGCACCGATCAGCCCTCATCGAGCACTATAAGACCCACACCAGGGAGAAACCCTATGAGTGCAATACATGCGGCAAGTCCTTCCGGGGCAGCTCGCATCTTATCCGGCACCAGAAAATCCACACTGGGGAGAAGCTGTAGTAGGAAGAGCTGCTAGCAAATCATGCTAACCTTTACCAGACAGAGCCTGTGTCTGTATTGCTTTGTAAGACCTCACCTGCCTCCCTTATAGCAGCACTGAATGGAGGCCCTCCAGTCCCAGTGCCCCTAAACATCCACAGTAGTGGGAGGGCCCTTGTGTCACCTGGTAAGGAGCTCCACACTCAGCAGATAACTGAGTGGGAGGAAGGGTGGGGTGCTAGGAAGGTGGAGGAAATGGAGGCCAGCCAGGAAAGAGCTGGTTTTCAGTGTTCTCGTTCTGCTTGACTTGCGAGCCCATGAGATAGAGTTTTCCCCTCTATTTGCTTTTTCCAGAATCCAGAAGAGGAAGAATAAACATCAAAAGGAGAAAGTTGAATTAAACCCATGAAAATGTCAGATTAACTGTTTTAACGTTAACCCTCAGCGTGGCAGTTTCAGAAGGCAGAATCTGTGCTCACAGCTCTAATCACCTGAAGAAAAATGAATTCAAAAGCAGATTCATCAGCAGGCAAAATGGATTCCTCTGCTTGAGTCAGGCATTGTTGGCGACAGCCACGACAGGCTAATAGAGAAAAGGGGGTGGGGGTCTGGAAATACTGGTTTTGAGGTTGGGAGTGAGGGTGGTGGGCCCTCTTTTCCATGTTAAAGAGAGGGTGGCTTCTGTCAAAGGTTTTGCCACAGGAAGGAGAGGCTGCTGGCTCTAACTTAGCCTGGACATCAACCCTTAACCGTTCTCTGGAATAAGCCCCCACAAGACCCAGTGATCCTGGGATACTAGCAGGGTCCCCTTCTGGTCTTTGGCTGTGCAGCCTCCTCTTTGTCCCCTAATGTTGGGGGCATGCAGAGGAGGGTGAAGAAGGCCATTGTTCTGGAGTCACAAGATCTGGGTTCAAATCTCAGTTCTGCCCTCTCCTGCCTGTGTGACCTTGAGCAGGTCCCACCTGTAGCCCCTGGGAGTCTGCTTCCCCACCTGTGAGAGGGGGTCATGGGGCCTGGTCACATACCTCCAAGGGCTGGTGTGAGGCTTCTGTGCACAATGAGACCACGCATGAAAGTGCTTTGGAATTTGAGTAGTCCCAGATGGTGGCTGAGGGTGGAGACCCCAAGTGGTCCCCATTCAGAGATGCTGTCCTCAGACTGGTGGAGTGTCCCTGTTCTGTTCCCAAAACAGCAAGTTTGCAGCAGGCCCTTTGTTAAGTCAAGCCTTACCCCCTTAGGCCTGCACCAGGTCAGCAAAGGGCTGTGGTCCTTGTGCACCCTGTGACCCCTGTTGCCCAGATGGATGCATCCTCCTGACACCACATTCTTCTGTACTTCCCTGTCCTCTCCATGGCCCACTGGAGTACACTGTCATTTAAAAAGTGCCATTGCTGGGTTCCACCTAGACCAATTTAGTCCACATCCCTGGAGTTGGGCCAAGATTTGGCAAGTTCTGAAGGCTCCCCAGGGGATCACAATGTTATAACCCCTGCCGCCGGGAGTTGGCTTGGACAGTGACTCTGTGACTGACTGATAAGTGTCTGTCTTAGGTGTTCAAGCCTTAGTGCGGCCACAGGGGTCTCTAGTGCTGGTTCCCACTGGGCTCTGTGGAGCTAGTGCAAGGAGGGAGCAGTCTACAAGCTATTTTCAAAATTTCCAAAAGTGCATGGCTGGAATTACACGAGCTCTTGGTGGTAACATTGGTTATCTCAGCTGATCAGAAGCTCAGCTTGGCATTGATGTATAGTTTTGATGAGTAAACATGGGAAAACCATAATGGTTACTTAGTAAGTGGGGCTTGGTAGGCCAGGGCTTTCCAAATGTTGGATCTGGTAGGCGGGGGAGGGGGATCTTGGAGTCCTGGTGCTAAGTACATAAGCCACTCCTCTGTCCAGCTCCTCTCTCCTGTGTGAGTGTATGAAACAGCCAGCAGTTCAGGCCTCCAGGGCATTGTCAGTGGGTGGTCTGCCCCAGTGGCCTTCAGTAATTCACCAGGAGTGAAGAAAGAATGGAGAGACTGGAGTCCCTGGGTGGTGCAATGGTTGCTGTGCCTGGCTGCTAACTGAAAGGTTGGTGGTTTGAGCCTACCTAGAGGTGTCTTGGAAGAAAAACCTGGCAATCTACTGAAAGATCAGCCATTGAAAATCCTGTGGAACACAGTTCTACTCTGACAACACATGAGGTCGCTGTGAGTCGGAGTTTATGGCAACTGGAAGAAAGAATGCTGAGACACCCTCCCAGCATGGGCCCCAGCAGATCTATCTACCTCTTCGACACCACCCTATAGCACCCTTCCCTGTCAGGCTTGGTTAGGCCTGTCAGATTGTCTCCTTCCTGACCCTGCACACCCAACCAGATTGATTTTGTAAAACATCACTTTGCACGCAATTGCCGTTCTTAAAACCAACCTTCAGGGACTGCTCTGCACACACGGCCTTGGTTCAGCCAGTCCAGTTGACTGCCCTCCGAACATGCCCATGGAGTTCACGCCACCCTCTGCTAGAAACCTCTCCATGTCCAGGTTCTCATAGCTCTCGCTGTGCTCATGTTTTGGCAATATGCCCTTTTTTCTTTTCTACTCCTCTGCCTCTCCCTCTCTCCTCCTTTCTTTTTGACAGTTTATGAAACATTGGAATTAGATCCCTGTTTTGAAGGGTTAGGAGCCCTTGTGGTGCAGTGGTTAAAGCACTCGGCTGCTAACCAGAAGGTCGGTGGTTCGAACCCACCAGCCACTCTGCAGGAGAAAGAAGTGGTGATCTGCTTCCGTAAAGATTACAGCCTTGGAAAACCTATGGGGCAGGTCTCCTCTGTCCTATAGGGTCGCTATGAGTCTGAAATGACTCAGTAGCAATGGGGAATGGGTTCTGAAGGGTTGACAGACTCATGTGAACATGGTAAGACCAAGTGCTTTTTTGTTGGAAGTGTGAGTGGAGCCCTGTTCCTTCTGAGTAGTCTGTTCAGCTTCTTCCAGTGTTTAATGATGTATGTTTGTAATGCTTTATTTAGATTCTCAAACAATATAAAGTTGCATTGTCCTTAGTATTATTTTAATCTTCCTTGTATATATTTGTTTGTTTTTATTTTTGTTGTTTTATATTTTTTTCCTTTCTATGGTGGTTTACTTAAATGTTGTTGAGTGTTGTAAAGCTCCGACTCTTGATTTGTTTACTGATCTAGATGTTTTGTCAAATTATATGTAGTCTGCTCTTTGTTGTTGTTGTTTAATACTTTATAATTCTAAGATTAGTTATATAGATGTAATTAATAATATTTTTGTTATTTCTAGTAAACGTAGGTACTTGGACATATAATTTTCTCCGATAGCTTTGTTGGCACTCTGTTAAAGATTTGATGTGGTATTTTTTGTTATTAGAAATTTCCTTTTGGCCCAAATGTTGCTACTTTTTTTATATTTCCAGGTGATGAATGCGTACGTTATTGCTCTTTATTTCTTATTGCACTGTAGTGTGCAACATTTCTGAGTGTCCATAGAATTTCTTTGAACCTGAATATATTATCAGTTTTCACAAAGCATTTATGTACTCTCAGGAAATTTGCCTTTACTTCATCAGTTCTATTTGTTAAATCAATTTTTTGATTATTCTATTCAAACCCATACTTTCTCTAACTTTTAATTCCTTCAGAGTTCTTAGCCTAGGGTCCATGGACTGCTTAGGAGTCCATAGCATGCAGTGGCTTTAGGGGTTGCTGGACTCCCAGGGATTGCACAAAGCTATGGGGGTGTATGCATGCATGAATTTTTTCTGGGAGGGGTCTCTGTAGCATTCATCAGATTTTGAAAGGGCTCTGTGACCCCAAAACAGTTAAGAACTTCTAATCGTAGTCTGATTTTGTGTGTTTTTTCCATTATGGTTTTTCTATTTCTCTGATGTATGTTGCTGTGTTAGTCATGTAGTTTTCTCAACTCCTTTTTAGGAAATAGGGTATAAATTGTCAATAAAACCATAATATTTGGGGCATATGTAGTTAATAGTGATACCTTGAAAAACTGTGCCTTTTAGTGCCTTCTTTGCCTCTTTCGGTGCTTCTAGCTTAAGCTTCACTTTTCCAAATATAATTGAAGCCCCTTGCTTTTCTTGAATTTGCATTTGCATGATAGAATTTAGTTCATCATTTTATTTTTTAAATTTGTGTATATATTTTGTTATATATCTGTAACTTATTAACAGCAAATTGTTGTATTTTGTTTTCTGATTCTGTATTTTTCTAATGTAAGAAGTTCTCTGACATTTTTTAAGAGTAAAGCATCATTTATACTTATCTTAATATTTTAATGTATATTAAGTTGTTTAACCCAAAAGATCATGCTCATTTTTTCCCCTCTCTAACCACATTTGGAGTATCATTTTTGTGTAGACTAGAGATCTTGTCACATTTGGGGTCAGTGCTGGGTTCCTCCCTGAGCCCATTCTCCATGTGTTTGGCCTCTGACTTCAGTGTCCTTGGCTGTAACACGGGGGAAATGATGCTCCCCTCATAGCCTTGTAGGGCTTGTATGGAGTGAGGCAGATGTGCTTGGCAAACTGTGAGGTGCAGTTAATTATTGCACTGTTAGCACTCTGAAATATTTAATTTTCTGTTTTTCTTACTCCCAAAGTTCTTTCAACATAACTTAGAATATTCCATTGTGCTTTATTTTTTAGAAAATACTGCCAAATATAAAAACCCAAAAAACCAAACCCATTGCCGTCGATCCTATAGGACAGAGTTGAACTTCCCCACAGGGTTTCTAAGGCTGTAATCTTTATGGAAGCGGACTGCCACATCTTTCTCCCACGGAGCAGTTGGTGGGTTTGAACCGCTGACCTTTCAGTTGGCAACTGAGCACTGTGCTACCAATGCTCAAACATGGATCTGTGCTCCCCTCCCTGAGTGAACTTGTCATTTGAAGAGAGGTAGAGGTTGTGGTCTCGTACCCGTTCCCATCCCCCTCTTCCAGGCTGGTCTCTCTTCTCCCACCCCACAGCAGGACCCTGCCAACATCACCAGGGAGAGAGGGGATGGATGCACTATCATAGCTACAGGGGCTTGAGGAGTTGGTCACTCCTGGTCACTTCTGTTACAAATAGGGAAACTGAGGCCTAGAGCAGTTGATGACTTGCCCAAGGTGTGCAGCAATTTAGTGGCAGAGTTGGGGCCCAGCCAGTTCTTTTTTCTGCCTAACCAGGGCTCTGCCTCAACCTGGCTGCACACAGGGGCCTTAGACAGGGACTGCCTGGGGAGGTTTAAAATGCTGCTGCCTGGATCCTACCGTGAGACTTTCATCTTACTGCTCTGGTGTGTGACCTGGGTGTTAGGATTTTAAAAACACCTCCAGGTGGTTCTAAATGTGCAGCCTGGGCAGGGAACCACTGTGCTAAACCTGTGTTTCTCAAACTATACTGGGTATGCAGATCAGCAGAGGGTCTGGTTAAAGCACAGATTCTGACATGGGTCTGGGGTGGAGCCCAAGACTGCATTTCTAGCTGCCCCAGGGTGGTACTGATGCTGCTGGTCCATGGACCACATTTCGAGTACGAAGGAGCTAGAATGGTGAGGGCCAAGTAAGTGTTCTTCAGAAATACTTGGAGTATTTCTCTTGTATACATTCCTGGCAGTGGAGATAGGTGGTCAAGTGTTTTGCTGTTGTTGCTGGCACCCTCACTGCAGTCCTGCCCTCCAGGGGGCATCTAGGGTCAGGCAGTTGGTCTTGCATTACAAATCTTCAGGGATGTTGGGGGCCAGCTCTGACAAAGGATAGTGCTTCTTCACTCTGCAGGGGTGTCCTCACCCAAGGCTTTTGCTCTGGGCCCCCTTCCCACAGAAGTAGCCAGAAGAAGCAGTGGAGGCTGTTATAGGTAAGGGGAAGGATAAGGCTGTCTGCCACCTTGGAAGGCACCTGACTGCAGGTGTATAGCTGCTCTGACTCCGCACTGGGGAGACCCGTCCAAGCCAGGGTGTTCTGGTCTGTTTGGGGGAGATGGCTTCAAGTGGCAGGCATCTCTTGTGCATCCTGCAGCCCCAGAGGAGGCAAGTGCCATAACTGCCTTGATTGGCCCAGCAGCCCTGGGGAAGGGAACAGTCCTGGTGTCACGCTGGAGCCCTGGCCAGCTGTTTGCCAGGACTTCTCAGAGACAGCAAGTGGTAAAAACCAGATGGCCTCAATCCCCTCAGTTGCTCGGCTGTTCGGGGCGAGTGGACATTTCACCCACATTACCCAAGGTGGATGTATTTGCCAGAATGCTGATGCGTTGATTTACTGGGGTGGGGAGGGAAAGGCCCTTTTCTGATAGGAGGAAAACTGCCAGATCTCCAGCGTCTGACAATCCAGAAAGCCAAACTGGTGAGTGGAATTGGGGTGTGAGGTGTTGACCAAGGTTAGTGTGATGGTGTGATGGTTAAGATTGTGTGTCAGCTTGGCTGGGCCTTGATTCTTCAGTGTTTCGACAGTTGTATAATGTTATGATAACTTCCCTATTGAGATTTGATATGTGATCACCCCCATGGTGGAATCTTCTGTGAGTAGCCAATCAGTTGAAGGGGAATTTCCTTGGGCACGTATCCTGCATTGAGTGTGAGCGGATGTTCAGGCAGGGCTCTGGGGCTTTTGCTTATTTTGGATCCTGCAGCTGGCTCCTGTTGGTCTGAACTCTGGTTCTTGGGACTTGAGCTAGCAGCTTACCTGCAGTCTTGCCTGCTGATCTTGGGATTCGAAGATCTTCACAGCCTATGAGCAGCAGCTCTGTTTTCTGGCCTGCTGATCTTGGGTTTGCCAACCCGTGTGGCTACAAGAATCAGGAGAAGCCTCTTTCCTGACCCACAGACTTGGGATGTTACAGCCTCTACAACCGCGTGAGCCATTTCCTTGATATAAATCTCTCTATATATTTATATGCTTCACTGGTTTTCTTCTCTAGAGAACCCAGCCTAAGATACATAGGCTATCCCTCCTGCACCCCAGAGGACAAACACTTGCCTAGTAGTCAGAATGCTGGTGGGGTCATGGCTGGAGACCCCTCCCCCTGTGTTTGCGACCTCCCCTTGCTGCCTCTGCATGTCCTGCTGTGGTCACTGGCCTCCCACAGCCTGCTGCCTCCTTTCTGGAGGTTCTCCCCCTCTGTGGTCTGGGATGCCCTCTGGTGGCGGCCAGTAAGCATCTACATGACTGGAGTGTGGTCTCCCCAAACCGAGAAGGGTCTTCTGCTTTAAATCTGGCCACCCCGTGCCACTGCCCAGGGCCAGGGTGGCCTTCTCTGGGAGATATCTGGAAGCTTCCTGGATTCCTCCTCTGTACCTCGCCTGAGCTGTCCATCTCCTGGAGACCCAGGAAAGAGAGAGCCCACTGTCGTGTGCTCTTCACCTGTCATCTCCCAGAAGAGGAAATGGCACTGCGTGTGGTTCTGGACTGGTCTCCTGGGACCACGAGAACCCTCAAAACTGGGTTTGTAGTAGGGAGTGGCAGGGGTAGAGTCCCCTCTTAGGGACTGATGGGGCTTGGATCTGGGCCTTACAAATGGGAGTCTGAATTGAAGGCCCGAAGCTGCTTGCTCTTACTGGAGGCCCGTCTGAGTTTCCCGGGGGGGCCTCCCTCTGCCTGTCTTCCTTTCCTGCTCCACTCTGAGCCTGGAGGAGGCCTGCAGGCCTCAATGCCCACCCCAGCCCCCTGGGCTTTAGGGGGCCTGCAAGCCTCGCTGCCCACCATACCCCCCGGGCTGCAGGGGGGCCTCCACCAGCATTTGCTGTATCAACAAGCTGTGGTCTCAGCTGCCTTCCTACTTCCTCTCCGCTCTCTGCTCTCACTGGCCTCAAGCCAGGAATTGGGGTGCTGCTACCTCCTATACCTTCTCATTCACCAACCCCCAAGTACTGCTTAATACAGCTCCCCTCCACCACCTCCTCTTGCCAATTGTACCTACCTTAGTCAAGGCTGCTGCCACCCCTCGTGGGCTGCCTGCCTTCCCTCATTGGCTCCCCTCCTTGGATGTGGCTCCCTTTGCCCTGGGCACCCAGAGTGATCTTCCTAACTTGCCAGTCTGACAGGTCACTCCCTCACACACCACCATTAGATTCGTGTGAATCTAAGTGTTAGGGGGTTCCTAGGCCCTACCTGACTTGACCCCTCAGACTCTAGTCCCTCTTCTCACCACTCTTACTCCCAGCACCATCCTCTGGCTACACTGACCTCCTGCGGTTCTGGGAAGGATGTCCCTGGGGAGAGCCTGCTCTAACCTACAGAAGGGGGCCCCTTCCTCTTCAGGAGAGCATGGGTAGATGGGGGTGGGAGCAGGGTGGCTCTGTTCCTGGGTCAGCTATTCATTTTTTTATAGTATTGTATTTTTGGTGAAAGTGTACACAGCAAAATATGTTCCCATTCAACAATGTCTACACACATTGTTCAGTGACATTGGTTACATTCTTCACATTGTGACAACATTCTCATTACTTCCGTTCTAGTTGTTCCATTTCCAATAACCTGGTCTCCCTGGTCACCCCCGCCCCCCAACCTTCTCCTCTTTGCTTTAGAGTAATTGTTGACCATTTGGTCTCATATAGGTAATTTTTTAAAGGAGTGCAATACTTATGGGTGATATTCTTTATTTTATGAGCTAACCTGCTATTTAGCTAAAAGATAACTTCAGGGGATAGTTTCTGTTCAAGGTTTAAAGAGTATCTCAGGGCAGCAAATGGGGATATCTCCAGTCTCAACTGGTCCAGTAAGTCTGGATTTTCTGAGAATTTGAGGTTCTATTCCACATTTCTCTCCCTTTCTGTGAGGATCCATCTATTCTGCCTGGGTCAGCTATACTGAGAAGGCCTAGTTCCCGCTCCACATTTCCCCTGCCCCGCCCAGGCCCGGGCTGTGTCCTGGGTGCCAGGAGCTGTTTGACCAGGGACAGTCAGCGAGTAGTGGAGGATGAGAAAGAGAGGGTCCAACTGGGACCCTTTGCTCCTCATGCCTCGTGGTTACTCTTCAGCATCATCTCAGCATCTGGCATACTATATATTTCCTAAAAAATGATTTCACAAGTGCGCCAGCTATGAATTCATCTGAGCCCTTGTCCTCCAGATCCAGCTCCTGATCAGGTCACCCCAGGCCTCAAGTGAGTCCTTGCAGTGGCTGAACTCCTCCTGGCCTTTGATCTCTTCCTTGTTGACTAGGGTCGGGATCAGCAGGAATTTCGGGGAAGCCAGGCTCCTAGAAGCATAGAGTGGAAAGTGCCTGTGATTTGGAGTCCATTTCACGATTACGTTTTGTGTTCTTAGGCAGTAACAGTGAGAAGGCTGGCAGGATGCCACTGCCCCATAGTACACGGAGAAAAGGGAATAAAAGGGAGGGAGGGAGGAAAAGACCTGACCAGAACATGGGACTGAGAAGAACAGGCTGGGGAAACAGAGTCCTCATATGAAACCCTGGGGCTGGCACTGTGAGTGATGAGGGAATGAGGCCACCAGAGGGAGCCATGTGCCCAGCTGGGCTGAGTGGACTGACCACTCGTGTGGGTGCTCACGGCCTATGGGGGGCTAGCAGCTGTCCCTCTCAGGCCTCTCCCCAGGAGCAGACCAGGGGTCTCTTGCTTCCCTCTGCCTCAGAGATCCTACAGGCCTGAAGCCCAGACTTCAGGGCCAGGGTGGCCTGGGGGGCCACAGGGAGGGAGGAGATGTGTAAGAAGTGTCCCTCTCCCATCTCTGCCTTCAGGCCTGGGTGAGCCTGTGGGATCCCAGGAAGCCCAGCTCTGGGCTGCCTTCTGCTTGCTGGGATGGTACCACCAGATTTTTACACACTACAGTCTGTATTGAATGGAATAAGCAGACTGTAAATCAGAAAGCCTGGAGAAGTCTGAACAACACAACAACCAACCCCGTGGCTACCCATGGAACAGAGTGTGTTCTGAGTGCAGAACACATTTTTTTCAAGCACACACAGAAAGGTCAGTGAGTATGGAAATGCTAAAGTATGATTCATGGTCTCTGGGTACAATGCAATTGTTCTAGAAATCAAATCAATCAAACACACAACCAGGAAACCATTATGGGCACTATTTGTTTTCTGGCCAGGTTTCTGGGAATCCACCAGCAAAATTTTGCTTCCCATCCCTGCAACTATGGGTTCTGCTAGTTTAGAGGTCTTAGTTCCCAAGGGAGGAGGTTTTCAACCAGGGACACAGCACTGATTCCACTGAGCTGGAAGCTGAGGCTGCCCCTGCCACGCACAGCTCCTCATTCAGGGAACAACAAGGATGGAGAATCAAGCTTAACTGCCAAGGGGATTGCATTGTGCTACTGAGGTTCTTGGAAACCCTGGTGGTACAGTGGTTAAGAGCTATGGCTGCTAACCAAAAGGTTGGCAGTTGGAATCCACCAGCTGCTCTTTGGAAACCCTATGGGGCGGTTCTGCTCTGTCCTATAGGGTTGCTATGAGTTGGAATTGACTGCAATGGGTTTGGTTTTTTTTGGTTTTAATGAGGTGCTTGTTGAGGGCAAAGGGAATATGAATGAGTAGTGGAAGTAATGGAACCCCAAATGGTGCAAATGGTTAATACGCTTAGCTGCTAACTGAAAGCTTGGCTGTTTGAGTCTACCCAGAGGTGCCTCAGAAGAAAGGTCTGGTGGTCTACTTCTGAATGCTCAGCCACTGAAAATCATATGGACACATTTCTACTATGACACACATGGGGTTACCATAAGTTGGAATGAACTCAATGGTAACTGGTAGTGAAAGTAATAAATACCAGCTACAACAATGTGAACAGTCACAGAAAAGAGGACTGTAATAGTTATGAATATTTCTTCCTTATTTTTTATAAATATTTTTATATTATAGTAACCATTTTTTTTCCTCTTCCTCCCTCCCATTTCCCTGCAATATAACATAAGATGTGTTAATAATGAGTAACTTTCTATTTTGGTATCTAAGTTACAGGACATCAGAGGGGAAGAATCAGCTAGGAGAAGAAAAAACATCACTTAAATGTGGATGAAGTGACATGGAACGTGAGCCTTCCTTTCAGGAGAGGGCTAGCATATTTTTGGTTGTAAGTGGTGAGATGGTTAATGCTATGTGTCAACTTGGCTACGCCATGATTCTCAGTATTATGTAATTATCTTCCATTTTGTAATCTGATGTAAGGGGAGTTTCGTTGGGGGTCCAGCCTGCATCCAATATATATGGACGTTCTGGTAAAGCTCGCTTCTCTCTCGATCAAACGATCCTGGAATTCATCTTGTTGCTGCCTGACCTGCAGACTATAGCTTAGCCAGCTCCCTCAACCCTGCAAGCCAACAGCCTGCATCCTGACCTGCACATTTTGGGTTCATCAGCCCTTGGAACCATGTGAATCAGGAGAAGCATTCAGCCCACTTATATGACCCACGGATTTGGGACTTGCCAGCCCCCGCAATTGTATGAGCCATTTCCTTGAAGTAACTCTCTATATGTATGCGCTTCACTGGTTTTGCTTCTTTAGAGAACCCAGACTAAAACACAAGGGTAGTTGCATCATGTTAGGTGAAAGCATGATTTAGATATTGGAAGTTAAGTATGGATAAAGGAGGTATATTGTGATGGTTAGTTTTATGTGTCAACTTGGCTATGCTATCGTATTAAATTAAACACTATTACAGTAAACACTAACCAGTTGCCATTGAGTCAGTTCAGATTTATGGTGACCCCATACATGTCAGAGTAGAACTGTGCTCCATAG